ATTTTAATTTGAGATTGTTAAATCTCAAAATTGAAATGAAATTAAATAATACTACCAAATTTTGATCCTTCTTTTATTCTTTCTGTATTAAAAACTAACTTTTAAAACATTTTCTTTATGGACAGCATTCGAAAGTTCTACTAAAAACGTATGTAAAATGTATTTGTTAAATCTGCAGCATACTCTAATAATTAAATTATTAGAATATGCTTAAGATTTAACAAATACATTTTACATACGTTTTTAGTAGAACTTTCGAATCCTCTCCATATAATAATTATATTTTAGAATGTTTGTATGTTTTATCTTTGCATTATTTTAAATCTTTAATATATTTATATATTAGATAAAAATATGTTTAACTTTTAAGATTCTGATTATATGATCCCTATGATCTTCTTTTCGAAACTTAGCGTTATCATAAAGCTAGGTTTCAAAACCTAGCTTTATCATAAAGCTACAATTCAGCGTACTAACATCATAAACTTTATGCTGTTAATACGCTAAATTGTCGATTTTTTTCTAAAACTTTTTTGTTATTTTGTATCACAACTACCATTGTAAACTAAAAAAAATAATAAAAAAACAATATCAAATTTTTCGTCAACGAGTTTGTTTTTGTAATTTTGATTTTTGTATTATTTTACATATTTTAAATTGTAGCATATTTTTATTTTACACTTTTGTGAACAGATCACATGCATAAATTTTAGTTAAAAGTAGCATATTCAGCTATAAAGAGTGTTAAAAAAAAGATTATTGAGTTGTCACAAAAAAAAAGGATTAGAATAGAAAAAAGAGACATACAAGAAAAAATGATTCAAGTTCATTAAATTCGAACTAAATTAATAATGAATTAAAAAAGATGTAAATATTACTGTACATTAATAAAAATTAACTTTTAATATTTAATGAAAAAAATTAAATTTTTTATTATAAGTATGAAAAACTTTCTTAAGTATGATATATGTTCTTTAGTTTACATCTAATTCCAGTTATCGATCCTGTTTGTTACATTGGATTTATACGGCAATAATAAAAAATTTGCTTTTATAATAAAAAACTAATGTAAAACTGATTATCCAGTTTTACAATTTAAAAAACCGAAAACCGGTTTTTTGAAGTTTCTGGTTTTTGCCAAGCCCTACCATGAGATCATATTGAGATTACGACTTGATATCAAACCATAAGAAACTTTTGATATCAAAATCACATCACACTGATACCAATTTTTGACGAAACACCATGAACTCGAGTTTGTTGTGTTTTGTCAAATATTGATATCAATGAGATGTAATTTTTTTTTTTTTTTAATTTGTTGTTTAGGTCCCCCAAGAAGTCCTAACTGTTTTGTCACAGAGCACCGCGGAAGTGGATTTAACCAGAATGTTCACGCCTCCTTTCTTACCATGACCCGAAATATGCCAAAGCTCGTTTTAAACCTGGATTTTTAATAACCTGGATAGTTATTTGATACCGCAGCATGAAAAATTTTTGATATCATAATAATATCATATTGATTTCATGCGTTGACTAGGACACCTTTGAAAAATAAAATTAAAAATATTCTCATACATTATCTTCTTAAAAACAAATATTTACATGGTTTTTTATGCTAAATAAATTAAAATTAAAAAATCTAAGAAGTGACGTCCTTTTCTGACAATCTCCCCCCCCCCCCTTTTGTTCTTTTTTGTCCCTTTTATCTCAAACCCCTCCCCTCCTCCCAATTTGGATGACGTCCTTTATGAATGGCCCTTTTTTCTTTATTAGAATATATCCCATAAAAATGTATTCCGTATATCTTTAATATATAGAGTTTTTATAGGAAATTGAAATAAATTTTTATTTCTATGACTATTATTTTTAAAGGTCTAAGAAGCAGATGACATAACTTTAGAAATCAAAAATTATTGAAAGAGAAGCAAGTCTAAAGTTGAATTTTCATATTTTCCATTCGAAAGTTATAATATGTATCGTATTTTTTTAACCTAGTCAATTTTTTTAAATATAATAACATAACTACAAAAAATCAAAACAAAACAGCTTGAGCAAGAAAGACTTGTAATTATTAGAAAAGTTTACTTATATTACATACGATCCTGAATAAAACGTTATATAAGTGGATTTTTTAGATTTTATAAACAATATATGTATAAACAAATAGCATATATGTTTATATATACATTGTTTATATAGAGATGCTTAAGCGCAACAAAGTTTAATAAAAAATTAGTTTATATTTAAATTAAAAAATGATTTATATAGCGTTTCTTTGCAAAAGCAACGCACTATAATAAAATTTTTAAGTGCTATAATAAAGATTTGAACTAGAATATTCACTAAAATAAAAAATTTCAAATTATCTCATTTTAACGTATTTGTTGTATCATCTATACTGCAGCCATTTTTCAAAACGCCTTAAGTTTAAAATGTATCATTTATGACTTTTTTAGAAAATAAGCTAGTTTATATGTCTACAAACGTTATTGAATACATATTTTTAAAGAGTTCTGAAATGATTAATTAAAATTATTCGTTTCAAAAAATGTTTAACAAAAAGTTAATTTTTAATAATTTTTTTAATTGTGTTTTTCTCGAAATACGTAATAAGCATATTAAGGCATTTTGAAAAACAGCTGTTTTTCAAAACGTCTTAATATGTAAAAAAATAAATGTAGGAAAAAAAAGCTTTTCATTATCAAAAGTAAGTATTAAATTTTTTTCTAGCAACAGGCTTTTTTTTTTTTTTTTTGCCTCCACAGAAGCACCTTATTGAGTAGCAGGGCTTTCTTATTTATTTAATATAGTTTTTTCTTTATTAAGTTTCAGACATCTTTTTATCAGATTATCAGCAGCTTATTAGGACTTATTAATTACTTGAGCACATTAATAACACAAGTGTCTCAATCACCATGCATACGCAACAAATTTTTCTCCCGGTGATGTTTTTTTTTTTTTGTTAATGTTTTATGAAATTTTAGCCTACTTAAAATTTTTTCTTTTGTGAAAGAATATAATATCGTTACGTTACATATGATGTATATAATTTTTATAAAACTTAAAAATTATTTTGTATTTTAAAATCATTAAAAAAAATTAAAAAAAAAAAAGCCGCTTTCGGTAGGAATCGAACCTCGGCTTAATTGTTAAGAGGCTCGGCGCCTTATCCTCTCGGCCACACTGGCACATAATTAACTAATATTATTAAATCAATGTAATGATTTTTTAAGAGAAAAACGCTATAGATCAAAATTAAGGAGAGCTTGACGCAATGTAATTTTCAAGTAAAAATCAGACTGTAAAACTTAATAAATGTTTCAGTATGTTTTAAGATATGTTTTAACATTACTTGATTTAAAGTTTACGAACGTTAGATATTTGGATACGCGTTAGTTAGTTAGTTCACGTTTTCTTATAAAACAAACCTGCTGCGACTCTTTCTCGCCATTACCTTGCTTGCAATGGCTGCCAAAGGTACCGTGTCAGACAGGCTCGAAAGCGCACTACTTACACTTTTAAATTTGGTTAATATATAATAGATACACTAAATTTATTTTAGTATTTTTTTTAGCAGTAAGTGAAAATAAAAATTAAACTTAAATTTAGTGTAACTTACTTAACAGTATAGTAGTAATAATCTTATTTTAAAATATTTTATATGCAGTGTTTATTTGTTTGACCACTACTTTATTTCTATTGGTAGGCACTTCAGTCACGTGACTTTTTCCGTGCGACAAAAACATTAGCGAATTATTCGGCAAGTTTTTCGGGAATGTTTTTCATGGTACCTAATTTCAAACCAATTGCCAGTTATATCTCAGAGGCAAAAATTTGAAAAAAATGTTGATCTGTGGAGATTATTCTTCAAAGTTTCTTAAAAAAGATGCTAGAAAATTATTGATTTTTTTTTCTGCCTGTAAATAAATTTTAATAATTATTTACAGGCAGTTAATGAAGATATATCAAATTTATTGTTTTTAGCAGAATCTCGTGCTTAATCAAAGACTTGTATTTTATCCAAGATAATCAAACACTTGTATTTGATTCATGAGATGTCAAAGTACATAAAGATAAACTTTATAAAAAACTTTTTGAGGAGACTGAAAATATAGAATTTGATGTCTTGGTGCAGCAGTCATTAGAAATAATTTCCCATGAGTTTTTAATAATTCTTGAAAGACAAGCAATTGATCAGGAGGTAAATATTGGGACTCAGATAAAAGAATTCAAAAGGCTGCTGAAAATGTACCAACAACTAACAAAGCTTCAGAAAGTGATTTTGCAATTCTGGATTTACTTATTCGGACGAAGCCTAATGCTAAAATACAAACAATTCAAGCATATACAATGTGGTACAGAAACAAAGCCTTAGATTGATTGAATGCAAAATCAGAAGAAGAGCGTTACATTTTAATTGAAAAAGCTTCTAATAGTGTTGAAAAAAATGAAGTTAAAGTAAAAAGCGTCAAATAGAGTTAATATCAAAGAAATCTTCAATTCTGATAGTAAAACAGCAACTCAAAGCAGATACAGAAAAGAGGGCGTTGCTGAAAAAAGCAAATATTGTAAATGAGCTTATTCAGTTGAAATCACAAGATTGGCTAACAGCAGATGAAGCAAAAGATAAATCTTCAAAAATTTTAAATGATACTTTAATGAAGCAAGTCATTAGAGTTCAATTAGATTTTTATCGTTATGTAATGATGGCAAAATGTTTGTTCAGGAGAGTTAATGGAGAACCTGTTGAATGTCATTTGAACCTGCAATTTGCCTCCGCCAGAAAAAACAACCAATACATTAAAAGAAAAAAAACCAACGCAATGATTTGATTAAGAAACAAAAGGAAAAGTTGTTTACAGCGTTAAAGGATTCTAGAATGTTACATCTTGCAAAAAAAAACAAAAAGTCCTGTTTTTGCCAGCTTTATTAAACAATCCATTTAGTTTAGTTGGGCGAGTTGTTCTTCATAAAATGAAAGAAGTTGATGAAGAAGTGTATTTCTGGTGCAAAGCAAATGTTGTTAAAATGGGTAAAGTTGGAAAAAAATTAAGCAAACATTTTATGATGTTATTTACGAATCAGAACCTGAAAGCATTTATACATTTCCACTGTTATCTGACTTTGATAAAGGAGATATGATTTTGTTATAAAAGGTAGAACCACTTTAAAGTTTCTATCGTATTATTAGTTGGTGAACCTGTCCTTGTTACTATTTAAATGTAAACAAAAATGTTGTTATATTTTTTGCATGATCATTAAATTTTTTACCTAAATTACTTACCAGACTGGGAAGTTAAGTCGCATCATGAACTAACCAAACAGTTAGTATTGCACCTTCTACAATCGTGTGCAATCCTGTCAGCTTTCTCTATGCTATCTCTCTAATTCTAATACTTCTATCTTTAACTCTAACATATCTTCGTTCTTCCCAAATTCACTTTACTCTTGGACTGTAGAGCGAGATTTGACGCTTCCTTGGGAGCTGAACAAGTCTCTGCAGACCTTGGTAATGTGGCCTCCACAAAGCAATTAGCTGGCGGAGGATAAACCACAATACCATCATTAAATTTTTTGTTTATTTTTCTTACAGGAAACACAATGAACTGCTTGTAAGATTGTGGTGCAATGTAAACAAGAAGAAATTGTGGATGATAATTTTAAATACATTTTTGCATTTTTCTTAATTTTGTTTTTGTGTATTTTTTGACAATTGTGTTTTTTCTAGCAGTGGTTATCCTTTAAATAATGTTTATTTTTTTGGTTTTTTATTGAAATTTCATTTCCTTTGACCCAATTGCCCCAAATGGGGCAAACGAGCACTGGGATTTTTACATATATTTTGGATTTTAAAAAATGTGTATAAACTTGTTTATCCTGATAATATGAAAAAGCACTAATTCTAAAACTAAAGTTAATTTATATTCTTTTTACAGAACCCTAATTGTTTCCGGTCCAATCGCCTCGATTCGGGAAAGTTGACATTATATTTTTGCATATTTTTTTGATATTTATAAACGTAAATAAAATTGTTCACTCTGACAGTTTGAAAAATCTCTTTTTCTTTAATTAAAGCTAATTTTTACGGTTTAAACTAAGGTTTTTGTACTCTTGGCCCAATTTACCCCAAAACAAGCTCTGTGTATTTTTACGTATTTTCCTAGAATTTATAAATAAAAATAAATTTGTTCATTCTGACGTTATTTTATTTTTTTTAATTTTAAATTTTAAGTTAATTTTTATTGTTTTTACAGAGCTCTGATTGTTCTTGGCCCAATTGCCCTGAATGGGGGAAACAAGCCCTAAGGCTTTTACATACTTTCTTAGTACTTATAAATGTAAATGAATTTGTTCACTCTACTTATAAATGTAAATGAATTTGTTCATTTTTACGTGTTTAACAGAGCTTTTTGTACTCTTGGTCCAATTTTCACCGAAATGGGATAATGAGTCCTGTGTATTTTTACAGTTTTACCTAATATTTATAAGCATAAATGAATTTGTTTATCCTGACAGTTTGATATAGCCCTTTTTTTTAACTAAAAATAATTTTTATTGTTTGTACAGAACTTTGATTGTTCTTGGCCCGATTACCCTGAATTGGGGAAATTAGCCTTAAGATTTTTTACGTATTTTCTTGATATTTATAAATGTAAATGAATTTGTTTACTCTGACAGTTTGAAAAACTCTATTTCTATATTTAAAGTTGATTTTTACGGTTTTAACAAAGCTTTTATGGCTTTTGATTCAATTGCCCCAAATGGGGCAAACGAGCAGTGGAATCCTTACCTAGGGGCCCCTAATATGAGAATAATAATTTTGAGAATTGAATGCTTTGATTCTTTAGTAAAAAAAAAAAAAAACAATAAAAATAAATTTAGCATAAGTACTTCAAAGAAACTCGTTCTCATTGGTAGCATTTAAAAAAAAAAAAATTTTAATTTGGTGCCATAAATCGATAAGGGAAACTAAAGAAATCTTGTTGCAAAACAGGCATTATTGAGCCCAACATAAACTGTCGTAACTTGGGAACCAGTTATCTAAATTTTAAAAACGAACTCATTTTAAAAACGTCTTTATTACCCGTATACTTTGGTATTAATTATAACAAGTGATAATAATTATATTAAAAACGAGTGAAGTGCCTAATATTGGTTATTAACACATTTTAAATTATATTGTCTATTGCGTTATGAATACCGCATAACTAGGTATGTGGATTAAAATTTTGAAACTGATCAAATACTAGATATTTATATATCATTAGAAATACAGTATTTTCCATACAGTGAATGGTGAAAAAATTAATAAAATCGAACAATTTTGCGGTAGTGGTGTAGTGGTAGAGCGCTCGCTTCATAAACGAGTGGTTCCGAGTTCGATCCCCACCACGTCCCTGGTAGTACCGCGCTCAACTCGTTTCTCCGCGCAGCGGCCTTGTTCGTCAAGGTTCGTGTTTCGGAGTTATAGAGTTGAGAGAGGGTTATAGCCACGAATAAGTAGCCTCCTCGTCTGTAGTGGCCTTCTCGGCCTTGAGGAGGTGAATTAAAATATAAAAAAAAAAAAAAAAATTCTACAAAAAGTAATAACGTTTTAAGTATCAATTTTTAAATATACGAATCAAAGTTGAGTTTTTATAAATCTAAATTGCTATAACTTCTTCAATTTCTATCTTAATACATAAAACTTGGTATCAAAAGTGTTGGGCTACAATTTTGAATTGATTTGTCACCACTGGGCGTATCATGGAGGACAGAGGCTGTGTCGAGCCATCAACTTAACCGAATAAATGCATATTTTTTTCATTAAAGTGTTTTTTATAGTTTGTTTTTTTTAATACAATAATACTAAAATTTTATTCAAGACCATAAATAAATATGAGAATATGAGAAAATATCTTAGGGTCGCAAGGGATGCGATAGTGGTGGTTTAACAAACCCTATTTTAAAGGTAGCGGATCGTCAAAGCGAAAAGTTTAAAAGCGAAAAAATGTTTAAGTAATTTTCCTTTGTTGTTTTTTTACAATGTCACAGCCTGGTTTTAATCTTTGTTTCTAAAAAAGTTTCATCTAAATAACTTGTTATTAATAAATAAATATTTTATCAGCAATTTTATAATAATAATTTATAATAATAATTTTGCTACTTTAAGTATATTAAAATACATAAAAATTAGTTTTTATTAAAAAAAAATTCTAACAGTTAAAGTTTGCAAATACAAACCAGTAAATTTTCACAACCCTGTATCATATTTGGCACATGAGACGCTAGCTCTTTAGAGCGGTGCCCATAATAGTATTTGAAGAAAAGAGAAAGAGAAGCAACATTGCGACAATGTGATAATACTTGGAGTTATTAACTATACTTTCAATGCATTTTTGTACCTTGTCTAAAAAAGAAAGGGCATCATTAGAAAATCCGCCCCAGATATGGAAACAGTATTCCATACAAGGCAGGATTTGATATTTATAGAGAAAAAGAATAAAATTTGGAGTAAGAGAGTGTCGAGCTCAATAAAGAGAAGCAAACGTAGCAGATGCTAATTTCGCAATGGATTTGATACATTGTTATCAATAAATATTGGATGTCAGAGACAATTCTAGAAGATGAAGGGTAGGTGGCTCATCAAGTACATTACCATTCATAATTATAAGAAGATCTAAATTTTTGAAATAATAATTGGCTGAAAAAAATTGAGTTTTATCTGAACTAAAGTTCACTAGCCCTGTGAGCCCCATGCTTTAGCAGAAGTGAGATCCTTTTCAAGCACAGATGCCCCTTCCGAGCAATCAGAGAATGTTGGCTTCTTATCATGACAAGAATAAATGGTAGTGTCATAAGCGAATAATGCTACCTTAGATGTGAGAATATCTGGAAGATCGTTAATGTAAATTAAAAAAAGAGTATTGAATTAAAAATTAAAAAGAGGATTGAATTTGAAAAACCCCTGAAGTTAAAGAATATAAAAAAAAGTGCTGTCCATCGAGGACAACATACTACAATTGCATGTCAAACTTTATCAAAATCTTTAGAAATGTCAAAAACGTTGGTGATAACCTCTCCACCTTTAATTAATGCACGATAAAATTTATCGGCTATTACTGTTAACAAATCAGCTGAAGAACAAGAAGATCGAAATCCATATTCAACAACCTTGCATAAGATTGGAAGAAGACAAATGGGACGGTAGTTAAACAAATCAGATTGCTCGCCAGAATTTTTGAATAATAGGGATAATAGATGCTGTTTTCCAGTAAACTGGAAAACAAGAATATAGGCGACAGCTCCGGAGAACACTTCTGCAAGACTATGGAATTACATATTTGGCCATACTATTAAAACTAATAAAGATTCTCCAGAAGTCACGAGAGTCTAATTTTTGGGATGAAATACAAGATTTCATAAACTGAGAATAGCGGGTTTTGGCGTTAGACAAAGCCTTTTTACAATGGTTCCTAGCAGTAATAAACAGACGTCTATTTTCTGGAGAATCGTTTTGTTGATAGATATAGAACTAACGGTTTTGACAGGAAGACGAAAGATTTCTTCCCAAGGGCCAACACGAAGAATATCACGGAAAGAGTCCCCGTCAGCTTTAAGGTAGTTGTAAAATGTACAATGATAGGGTGATTCTTATGATAAATAAGAACGAGATAATAGTTTTAGAGAGATCTGAAAAAAACTGTGATCAAAAGCACTTAAGGCTGAATGTTGAGAAACTGAGCCCTGACTAGGATCAAAAACAAGAAGCCATTCAGTGTGATGAGCACTAAAGTCACTGACAACTACAATATTGGCTTATGGATAAAGAGAGAGGGCATGGTCAATATTATCAAAAATAACATCAAAAAGAGTACAATCTTGAGATGATAGAAAAAAGCGATATAGAAAAAAGAGAAAAGCGATAGAGTGAAGTGGTGCTATGCTTACGCACATAAAAATATAGTCATTGGCTTCAATCCTAGTTTTGCGACAAATGGGTGAGTTCTTACGAATTTAAATGCCCAGGCCATTTTTACGAATTTAAATGCCCAGCAACTAAAAACGATAGCAATTAAAACTTCGTACCTTCAATAACTGAATGTTCCTCTGTATTTAGTTCAACTGAAGGTAACAGCTGAGAAACCATGGAATTCTCGACTACATCAAATGTAAATGATTCACCCTGTAAATTATTTCAAAAAAAGGTAAAAAACAATGATGATGATAAAGATAATGATGATGATAAAAATTTTATACAAAAATTACCACATCTATGTTGACTGCAGGCACATGTATGGCAAGCTCAGTTAATGGGTCAGCATAATAATACAGCTTTTTATCCAATCGAAGACCACGAATATTAGTGAATGATAAAGAACTTGGTGATTACGATAGTTTTTTGTATTTTATAGTTTTTGGTATTTTATTAGTTTTTTAATTTGTTAAAAAACTTGACTCAATGCATAGACAGTACTCAGTACACTGTTTTATAGTCCAAGAAATTGCCTCGTTACTATTAATAAACCCTAAGCCGTAAAAAAGGGCTCCAAATGTGGCCTCGACAATGCACACCAAAAGTACAAACAGGGAAACCATTCATACGCAACATGGCACTATTAGTACTCTGATTCTTTACAGCTTCTAATGGAATCAACCTCTCTAAGAGCTATCACAGACTTCAAAAGACCTGAATACCAGCCG